TGCTTTAATAGGAAACAAAAGCAGCTCTGTGTTGAAAAATGTCCAGCAGCTGCATTGTTGTGTGTGGGTTGTTAGGAGACCTAAACACTGCGCCGTGTTTCATAATGTTCTCTGTGGCAGCTAATATATCTTTTGTCACAACGGTTGCAATTCAAACGGTACAAACATGGCATTACAAAGTGTTCTACCAGTGATGTGACCCCGACCAAAAGCGTCCCGTTGCTTTGCGGCAGAAAACCCGAGCCAAACTTTTTGTTGGATGACCAGGCATTTTTTTGGCTGGAACCCTCTGTGTCGACTACACCTGCTGTGAAGCTGGACCGGCTTCATTCAGACGAGCGAGGGAGCCACATTTGTTCACGCAGCGCTAGAGCCGCTCTGAACTCTAACGGCACAGCAGGACCCCGGGGGTGTTTGCCACTCAGATTGTAATTTCAAAGAGAGGTTTAACATGGCTAAATATAAACCCCACCTAAATATAATATGACTCAGAGGTTATAGGGAGGGCAATATCATACAAAACAGCGGGGATTAATTTTTCTTTATTTTAAGTGGATTTCCAGAGTGACATTTTACCTTTTCGGGCCGAAAAGTAAGTATGACATATTGAGAGAATAAAAGAGGTTACGCCGCATGTGAAAGGTTTCTGCAGGGAGCATCACTCCTCCGCTTTAGCTTGTCGGTGTGAGTTTTGTTGTTTTGAACATGACAAATACGTCTAAAATGTTTTGATCTGCAACAAATCTCTCTTGCGTTGGTTTAACTGCTAATTTTCCAGTGACAGCGTGACGTCCAGAGATAATGATATTTGTTTTTCACAGCTGCTTCTCTGTTTTTGGTGCAATGACAACAGCATGCTACATAAAATGCTATAAATCTCCATATAGTGCACATCATTATTATTTCATAAGTGCCCCCCATCCATCTATTTTCATACCTGCCTGCTTCACCCACCTGCCTCTGCGAGTGTCAGTCAGCGGAATAAAGGAACAGTCCTGAGTCATTTCTCAAGTCACTGGAGCAGCTTTGCTCGGTGTCACTTTTATTTATTCATTATCCAGGTTTTATTTATTCACACCGTGCCCTTCCGTCAACAGATCAAAATACTTACAACGGCGTGCTCCTGCCTAATTCAGCTGCCTTGGCCTTTTATCTTCAACATGTAGGATGGTTTTTTAGAATACATACAGTCCATTAGGCAGCCTGTCTCTCACATCTCGTGTCACACTCCAGCAGCCTGTACATTGTTAGGAGAACATCTGGAGGAGGAACAGCGAGCACGATGCTGTACTCATGTAATTTTTAACACAGAAACCTGCAGATTGTATGTGAAGACTAACTTTTACTATTCTTGTAGATGTCGTGTGTGCAGGAATAATTTAGAATCATTTGAATCAAATGATCTGCTCGACACGTTCTGGTAATTAAAACTGAAATACACTCGACATGATTGCGGGCACACAGTCATGCAGAGTCTTCCTCATGCATACTTTAATTTTGTACAGCGCGACAGCTCAAATGGCACGATGATGAATTGAACAACTGGCCTCATTTACTGACACTGACGGAGCACTGATCAAAGCGGAAAATGCTCAGACGGCTACATGCGCAGCGCTTGATTTGCGATCCTCGTAAACCCCTCGCTGATATTTAATCCCCTCCGTAAAATTCACAAGCGTATGAAAGGGGAGAACAAAAAAAGTTGCGCAACAGTTGCAATGTCGCATCTTGTGGCGGGCACAGGAGGAGGCATCTGCTCGAGGGATCACAAAGAATTTTAGGTTCTTGATCAGCTGTGTGTGCTCATTTTCCCCACCAATCATCATCATCATCATCATCATCATCCTGGAACTGTGTTTGAGATGTTCCGCTACAGAAATAAAACTTCAAATTTAGCTACTGCTGATTCCGTCCTTTCATACGAAGCGCTGATGCTGTTATTTGGTTTATAACAGAAGCTAAATATGACCACTCTCTCCCTGCTCTGAGCTCTCTCTGTTTTCTTTCTGAGCCATCTCCCCGTGCTTGAATTTAGAGAATGCTTTAACCTTTAAACAGGAACCCCTGCAACAGAAGATCAGCATCTGATTACAAGGAGATCAAAAGGGATTTTACAAAAAAAGGAGCAAGGGCATTATAAACACTCCGTTGGTGTTTATATTAGCGAGCCTTGAGTGAAGCCGTCCTGATTCTAAATAAGATTTCTAAAAAGCTTCTCTTCTCTGTCTGGTTTCTCCCCCTAAAATGGCAAATGGCGTATAAAGGAAGTGGACGGTGGCTAGTTGTGTTGTTAACAGCTGTGTAAGGCCTCAAAAATATTATATTATTTATTAATAAAATCTCTACCACAAGAGTCATAAGCTCACTGTAATGTGTCTCCAAACAGCTCTACCTTTAGACTGCTGACTAGCTAAATGACCAGTGTCTTCCCTCCCCAGTTGCTTTTTATTGATTGCCACAATCAAAACACTAAATAATTCATGCATAACTTTAAGCCCTAATACAATTTAAATGTGTGGGTTAAACAAAAACTTATCTCACATACCATTATCATGGGCAGGGATATTAGCTGTAGAGACCAATATGGTTTTTGTACCAGACTGTAAACATGTTTTTTCATGGTGTAAAGGTGGACATTTTAACACTGGGGTCTATGGGGATTGACTCACTTTTGGAGCCAGCCTCAAGTGGACATTTGAGGAACTGCAGTTTTTTAGCACTTCCACACTTGCTTCACTTTTTAGGCCCGGAGGTTTCTTCTTGGTCATAGGCCTTACACTGCTGATGATTTTAACCCTAAAGTTGACGTCCTTTAGTATAAAATTAAGGCAGACTATCTTTGGCTACTTCGGTCGTGGCACTGAGGTGGAAACACTTCTGGATGTCAGCGTGACAGATGGGGAAAAAAAAGTGCATATAATCTTGTCTGTTACACGTTAGACAATTACATTTCACACACCCTTGCTGACTACAAAGTGTTTATTTCATTGTCTTATCACCTTCTGCCAATTCTGTCCTGCTTTATTATTAATTGAAAAACTCATTATGGGCAATACATGCATAACACAAAGACACACGCTCCTTCCTTCTCCCAATACTTGCCTTCTACTTGTTTAAAATGCATTCATTAGAACTGAATGTAGAACCATACACGGCAGGTTAAGATGGAGCAGAAGCTGCTGAATACAGTATAACATTTCATTAAGAAGTGCAGTGAATAGCAGCTAAAAGACCTCCCGTCACACAGGCCGACCCTCTGATCTCAGTTTAATGAGAGTTTCCGATTAAAAGCAAATAGAGAAATTATATGGCGCACATTCAGCAGCTCAGTGAGCTGTGATCATGCACACACACAACACTGTGAAGCTCCAGACTGTCAGGTTTCATTTGATCCTGACCTCGGCTACATGAGGTGAACCGATAACCAGCTCCATCTCTCTGTGCACACCGGCACTGCCCCGACGGCGCTGAGCCTTCTTTCACTCAGTGACTCATGAACAAACCCTGAAACCTCAGCGCTCATTAGACCAGCAGCGGGACCAAAAACTCTTCTGTTTCTCTTTGGTGAATGATTTGTAAAACTTCAAGGAAACAGCGGAGGAAGGAGGTACACACCCAGACGGAGTGAACTTGCCACTTGAAGCATCACACGGCGCTGTGTTGTGCTGGTGCCATGCCAAGCAGCCCTGAGCTGTTTACATCTACAAACCCTCCACAAAGAAAGGCCTCGTGTTGAGGTGCAGCATCAAATGCAGTTAAATATTAAAGAAACACATTAAATCTGAGCCGTGCGCATCAGAGATGAGCAGATATTCGTTACTTGAGACAACTGACTGAGGTGATTACATGCGACGTGAACGGAGTCGCTCTATGGAGTGATAAATCCATAGAGTGCCAGTAGTTTATCTCAGGTTTATGAAACCTTGAGCATCTTTCTGGCTTTACGGTCTGCAGCAGCTTCACTCTTTCGATGTAATCTCAGTGGTCTCGTTAGTCACATTTACAGCAGCAGCACGCAACTGTTCTTCAGATGAAGTTGCTGTACGCTACACAAAGTGGTAATCACAGTCACAATTACAGTTAGTGACTAATTACTGAACGTAGTACCATGGTAGAAAAACAGAGCTAAAACGAGAGTGAAATTAATAAACATGACTCCAGATGAATGCTATTACTCCATATCTGCTAGATGTGCAATTTCTCAAAAACAGTGTTCTTTGTCCGTGGTGGCCAAATCATAAAACATTAACTCAGATCAGTCACAAGAAGTCCATCCATCCATCCATCCATCCATCTTCTCCCACTTATCCGGAGTCGGGTCACGGAGGCAGCACCCTTAGCAAAGCCGCCCAGACTTCCCGATCCAGTCCTGATTGCTTCATTTTTATAGATAACTTTAGAGGGTAGTGTCTTTTGTAGCCTTTGTAAAGTCAAAAACACTGAAGAAAAAGTGTAAGAAAATGTAACTTACACTTACATGTTCTTTGACATTGGCTGTAAATGTTAACATGCCCGATGCCAACCCAAGGACACCATTAGCTACATATATTAGGCTACTGGGTTGTGTTGAAGAAACGCCTAGAACATAGACTAGCACACCTGCCCTGAAGTGTTTACCCCACTGTGTGAAAGCAGGTTCTAGAGGCAACTGTAGGTTTAGCGTAAGTTTAGCGCAGTTCTGCCCTGGTCTGGATTGGATTTGGACTTCAGAAGATGGTGTGGCAGCTGATCAGTATAACAAACTACAACAGTCTGAGCAGTTATTTTTTTACTTATCAATTTCACTAACATTAAAAGGTAAACGGTTGTTTGAACTGACAAAAATGACATGCCTGCCTTTTTCCATCTCTGTCTGGTGTCCAGATTGTAATTTTGAGGCTAAAATCTGCCAAAATTACTGCTGTCAACTGCAGACTTTACTGTGTAACAGAGACTAAGCGGTTACGTCGTTGCAAATGTGTTCTTTTCATTACTGTGCAACCCTTCTGCCTCCTCTTCAGACTCTACGGAGCGCTGACCAACTGCACGTTCCTGGTGGCTTCGACGATGGACTGCTTCTGGCCCAACCGGCTGGTGGACGAGTTCTTCATCCGAGTCCACAGGCACTATTTCCACGACTGCTCTCTGTCTGGACGGCTTCTCAGGGACCCTCCAAACCGCATCCTGGGTCCCTTCATTGTCGTGCCCATCCTGGTCACCCTCCTAATGACAGCCCTGGTGGTGTGGAGGAGCAAACGCAGTGAGGGGATTGTGTAGTGAAAGGGAAGGAAGGGGGGCCGAGGTCATGAGACTCAAGACAAGAGGTACTTTTTGTCCCGTAGGTAACACCATTCTCACCTTCAGCGACCAAATGATCTCTTCTTCTGAGTGTTGACATTTGGGGAAAACGTTCTCAAAAGGACAAGAATGACTACATTACTGACCGGGATGGGGTGCTGAATGCAACCGAAAACCAGATCTTGCTCCAGTGTGAAGCCTTTGCAGCGCCCATTTATTGACACCGTCTACATGGACTGAAATTTCTTTGGTTTACAGAACGTTGGGTTTTTGAAACGCTCACCTGAATCTGATCCGGACCGGAATAGTGACTGGTAAAAAAAGATATTGTACATATAAAAATCACTTTATAGAGAGAAACTGCTTGCAAAACAAATTGGGATGCGATGGTTATGCTATTACACACACAAGATTTTAACAACTATTTTTGGAAACCATGAATATAACATCACCTTCCACAGCAGACGGCTCAACAGGAATGAAACTCACGGCTTACTTGGTGAGGACTCAGCAGGACAGATGCTCAGACCAATCTAAGGGGAACCCAGGGATATGAATTTTTCTGTGTGCAGACATACAGCATACATGTAAATATACACAGTATGTACAATGTGAGATTCATCTGTCAGTGGATTGTACGGTCAAGACAACAAATCACAAAATTAATGTCTCTCAGTTGCAAATGTTGGGATTTCATGTGCTGATTTTGACAGATGTGTATTATATTTGGATCATTCAGTATCACACAGATAGCTCACTGTCAAAACAAAAAACACAATATCAAGGGATTGGAATTAGTTTTCATTTCCTTTTCTCTGCTTATATCCATAGACTGTATAAAAGATGGACGTAGCAACCGGCCCTGAAAAATGAAGCCAACCCGGAAGTGTCAAAAACCTGCAATATCTCTACGTCCGCTAGCTGCTGGCTCCAAAAAGTCCTGGCTCCCATAGAAATGAATTGGAAAAGAAGTGATCACAGATCACAACATACCACATTCCTACAGCTCAGGATCATTTTTTTAAATTAGTTTTCATGGTCAGATCCAGAGATCAGGTGGCCAATCTGAAAATAAATCAATACTGAATTTTTTAAAAATCATCAACATTTTGCGGGGCAAGGGGCGTGGCTGGCTTGATTGACAGTCGGCAGCGACCATACAGACGAAGCGAGCAGAAGGCGGTAAATGTGGGCGGGGCAGAGAGGGCCCGCCTCTCAATCCGTCTGACCAATCGCTGCTCCTATGGCTCCGCCCCCCTCCCACGATTTTTGCGTCACTGGCTCCAAAAATCCAAGATGTCAACCAGGAAGTAGCAAAACCCTGGCTTCATTTTCTCAGTGCAGAAACCAACGAGTGACGTCACGGTAGCTACGTCCATCTTTTATACAGTCTGTGCTTATATCAGACAGCCCGCATGTCCACTGTCTCTCGGCACACCTGCAGCTCAGTCTCGCTCTCTTGAATGGGAAATGAAACCTGTTTCTATAGTGTAATATACACTGAGCCAACTGAAACCAAACTGGCAGATGTTTTCTACACATGAGAGAAAAAAAAAAACAGAGACGGGACAGTAACTTTGCAGAGGTTGAGACCTCAATTTGGAGATGCTTTGTGTGGTTTTATGTTCTGCAGTTCCCAACCTGCATTATGCTGGAAACACAAATGTTGAAAAAGAGAAGACACAGTGGAAAATTCACAGTGGAAAAACCCACAGTTCCAACTACAGAGAGAACATAAAGCAATGGGTTAAGTTAGCCAACGCACATCCCTGCTGAATGTTGCCATAGCCTAAAGCACAGTGTGTGTGTGTGTATCATGGACCTTAGGTTTTTATTGATTTGTGATCTCCCAGTGTGGTAGAGTGTGCCGTGTGAACTGTTTCTTCATTGATATTTTTGAATGCTCTCTTTTCCTTTATAGATTCATTGACCTGTAACCTGCCTGTCAGCAAAACACACTTTAAAACACACCCACACTTCCCCGACATGATCTTACTTTGTACTTTGTGCCAAAAGCTCTTGTAAAATAGAGGGCAATGTTTGCTATGAAGTGTCCAATTTTCTGTTGAAGTGTCTTCTTATGATTGATTTTTAAAAATCAATGAACGAATCATGAAGAGAAATAAAACGTCTGGTTAATGTGTCTATTACGCTCAGGGTTTGGCTGTTGCAGACAAAATAAAGTAAAAAAAAAAAAAGATAAAATAACAAAAGAATAGACATGCTACCATATAAGTGCACTGTATGGACTGTCTGGTATGATCAAGCAATTAACATCCCATCATGCTTTGTGGTGTGTATAAAAATGCTTACCAGTTATATTTTTGTTGTATCAAAATGTCAAGAGGAAAAGATGGTTTTCACATGGACGGATTGGGGAATAGCAATGTTGACTGGGAAGAACAATAGCAACCAAAGATGCTGTAAATATGCAGCGTTTATACCGGCATTCTCACAGGGCAGGGCGGTGTGATTCTCGACCATCTTTGTTGGTTAATTGCTTCTCGTTTGATGAAATTAATTAGAGACAAGGCCAAGTTATTTTAGACAAACCTCGGTCAAGTGACACGTTGTCAACTATACGTCACTGGAGGCAAGTCCAGTGGAAGTCCTAATTTAAAGTCAAATGTCAAGTCTTTGAAGACAAAGTCCAAGTCATGTATTTGGTATTTTGAAACAAGCCTAAGTCAAGTTGAAAGCCGGTAAACACAAGTCGAAAACACATCTCAAGCCATCTGGGACACGTCCAAGTCAAGTACACAGTCTTTCAGACCAAGTTTTAAGTCTGCCAGGTAATTCCAAATCTGAACTCAGCATTTTACTTCCCTGTGTCAATGCACAGGCCAAATAAGTACATTTCTAAGTGGGAAGTTATGCAAGTCCGGCCACAGGCTGCCATCTTTTTGTGTGTTTGTGTGTGTTTTAGGTTTTTGACAGTTTTTTGCTTTGAGATCTCAAGATAAGTTTTTGGACACTGCAACCGAGTCCAAGTCATGACTGACTTCAGTTTAAGCTTGCGGTCAAATTGACTTCAGTGGAAAACATCATGAGGCCAAAGAAAGACGAGAAGGAAAATTTGTAAGGACACAAGAAAAGATTAAAGCCGCAAGCGGCGATGGACGGGTCCTCGCCCTACGCTTGTCGGCCTTCGCGCA